ATGGCTGCCGTCACATCATCCAGGTGGATGCTGCACATTGGTGGTGGTGGAGGGGAGTCCCCATTACCTGTAAAGCACTTTGAGTGGAGTGTCCAGAAAAGCGCTATATAAGTGTAAGCAATTATTATTATTTTTAGATTGCTTACTACAAAAGTAAGGAAAGGGAAGAGCTGCAATACATCTTCCATCACACAGTGCTTTAGTATGCAGAACAAGCAAATGGTATATATCTAAGATTAGATTAGCTGAGAAGTGGAGGATTGGGGACTTTATTGTCCACACTTTTAAAGACTTCCAAATATCCAAAGAGTCTGCACTTTACAGAGACTCCTGAACGAAGTGGAGAAGGGTTCCCTGTGAACAGCAGTTGAACATGGGTCAGTAGATCCTAAGAGAGGACTTCAGGACCTAGTCTTCCCATACTATGAGCTGGTCTTTTTTCTGCAGATTGGTGACCGGAATGGTGAGCTGACAGCTCGGATGAATCTGGAGCAGTTGATGGAAGCTTTGGGAATGTGCGAGGGTGATCTTTCGCCGTGTGGATCGGAGTTCGAGGCACAAGGTAATACTGAAACAAGCATCTGCTGTGTGCTCTCTCTGTGGCAATGCACTGCATTACCCTGCAACCTCAAACCTTGCTTGCACTACATCAGTATAATCCATCAAATGTGTTAGATTAACAAACATATTTCATGCATCGATCACTTTATTTCTTTAAATTATTAAACACATTTCTTTTAATCCTTATTTATGAGGTTGTCAGGGAAGTTGGCTTCTACCACTTGTGTCTTATAGAAATCCTGAGCTGTAAAGAATTGAAAAGTTAAAGCTGATTTGAGATAACATTTAGAACTTTTTCTGCACATAACTGCGGACCATTTTACTCTGAGTTTTAACAGAACAATGCACTATGTCTAAAAAACTGTTTTGGGCTGAAAAAAGTTGAAACAAATTGCCAAGAAGGACTAAAAATGTATTGCTCAGACCTGTGGGAATAATTGGAAGAAATTCAAAAGTCAAAACTGTAGAAAAGAGTCTACTTAAACCTTAAAATGCTGGTTTGTTGCCTTAAGTATTCACATCAGGTTCTCCAGCCCATCATATTGTTTGTCACTTATTGGACAAATGTCACATTTCTGCCAGTGCCATGTGAATGATTTGCTTCTGCCCTGTTTAACAATCTAGGGTTGCTATTATGTCCTTGCTATCACCATTGTGACACAAAAACAGGCACAGTCCTGCTGGGTTGTTTACACATTTGTAATAGGTGCTCTGGGATTATGCTTGTTGACTGAGGAGGGGGTGGGGGTATTAGGTGTGAAGCTCAGTCAGGGCTTGAAACGCTTATCAAGATAATGCACAAACACCTGCCAGGTTACACTTACAGTACTTCCTTGTTTAATGTTAACATCCTGTCATTGCACTCCTGTGCTTGTGGGGAAGAGAACACTGCTGTTCTGGGTGAATACTTGGTAGCTCTGGCAAGAAACACTTTCAGGATCAATTCCGGAGCAAGTTGACTAATCAGGTACTGGTTGAGTGGTTCACTGTGTTCTAGAGCATTCGACGTTTGGTTCACCCCGTATTGTTTTTTAATGCTGTTCTAATTTACAACACAAGTGGGAAGAAGAAGAAAAATGTCCGGTTCCATACAAAACAAAGATGCGCTTATAATGGTTTCCCTTAGTTGTTTGTTTTTCACTTTTAATTCCTGAGCATGTTACTGAAGTCGTTTCTAACCACACGCAAACACACACACACACCTTTCCTCTCCTATAAATCAGGCTCTGTGCTCAGGGTGCTGGAGAGCTCCCAGACAGTGGCAGCATTGAGATGGCCAGCACAGCGGCCCAGTTTCTGTGGAGGAAGTTAACTCTTTGCCCTGTCTGCTTATATTGACATTGCCTCTGTCCCTGCTGATTCATGACCTTGTGGAAAAGCAGCAGCCTGTCCGTGGAAGCAGAGGGCACTTGCCTCAGAGCAAGTTCATCCTGGTTTCCCAAAGTGAACAAATGGGAAAACTGGGGAGGCTTTTTCACCAGCCTTATAGAACTCCTTCAGTTCCTGAGCTAACGAACACATTGACTATACCACTACAAAGCAGTGCTTTGTCCACGGGGCTCGAAAATTCTGGTCTTTGACTTTGACGTTTAATTTTGTTAAAAGCAGGTAAAATGAAGTTTGATCTAACTATTTTTCCTGGACTTGCCATAAAACAGGAAGAGATCTTTTGTTTCCGTTAGTACTCCAGTATTATTTGGATTCTGGTTCAAGTTTTTTTTTTCTGTACACTGATGAACATGTATCGTACAAGCAACGGAGACACATTCAATTTGCTTTTAGTTAAAACAAGAACCTGAAGATTTTGAAGGTTTCTCAATAATATTTCTGTAATTCGTTTGGCGATTTTGTCTTAGAAAATCTGATAAAGCAAGTCAGTTCGTCAGGTTTAACAGGGTTGTTATTTTGGGCACATGATAAACTGTATGTACATCAACTGGCCATCATTATTAAAATTCCCCCTTTCGAAAAGCCTGAAAGTACATTAGATCTCTTGTGACAGGGAAACAGTTAACACATCCATCCCACTTCTCTGGTTTGTTTAATGTCCTGTTTTGTTGACTTAAAGCAAAAAGGAGCCAAAAAATGGAGCTGGCATGAAAAAGCAAACAGCTAACCTCTGAGCATTTAAAGGAGTTTTTAGAAGGTGGGATGGGACTTCAGTTCCCCTGTCTCATTCCTTCCTTCTCTTACCTTCCCGCCCACTCAAGAAAAGTCAATGTGAAACATTCCTGAGCCTGACTGCGATGGAGAAAGAGCAGAACTAACAGTGTGAGACAGTGTCTGGATAAGAACAGACCCCTGGGTTGTGCTGTAGCATTGTAGTGTTCACAGTCTTAATGGATTAACGGTTCTGGATTCCCTTTGAAGAAGGTGGTGAGTGTGTGAAAATTACTCAGCTCGCATCCAGAGGTAGACACTTCAGGGCATAAGATTCCCAACGCAGGTTCTCTGAATCCGGAATTCAGCAGGTGTTTTAGACCTTTTTAAAATCATCAACAGTTGGAGACTATGTAAAAGGATACATAGACCTAGATAAACCTTGAATGGATGAGTCTAACCCTTTTCCAGGTGCAGAATTGTTTATAACAATATGCCTAGAAAACTTGCCGGACTTTATAATCTGAGGACCAGATTTGGGAAGTGCTTTAGGACATTATAGCACAAAGGAAAGAATTGAAATGTATAGAGTGATAAGCTGCTTTGAAATTTAAGGAGACAGAGAGGGAGCTGAAATATATCATGTACATTTTAGCATTAAGGTGTTGCTTTATACTGAGGTACATTCTTGTTAGAAATATGGTACAATTTTATCCGGCATTTTTGTCTAAGAAAAAAAAGTGTTGCTGGCAGAATTACTTTGTTTTTATGGTCTTCTGTGACGTCATTTTTGATTTGGTTGTCAGTATACAAACAGCTGAGAAAAAGGGCCCACTGACTGAAACCATGAGTAAGAATTTCACTTAGCTATATTCTTAATATTCCACTCAATGGGAAAACACTTATCTGAAATAACCATTCCTTTAAAATTGCAGCAAAACTGTGAAGTCATCAAGCGGGTAGTTATTATTGGAATGTTGAATGGTACAGTATATGTTCACACCTTGTCAATATCTGATAATGGTTTTTAATACCTCAGAATTGCTGGACAGTGTTTACCAATAATGTGCTTTTCCTGCCACTTATTTTCTATTAGGTCCTTTTAGCATGCTTCTGAGTGACAGTAAGTTAATCTTTACCTAAACCCTTTAACATATACGCACAGTCAAAAGAAAATACCATCTTGAGATATTGTTTCTTTCCCTACTACTGGTTATCATCACCTATGATCTGCCATGCATAAAGCTACAATAGAAATAGTAAGATATGTTTGGCCTTATTCTCATAATACTTTAATATAGAGATGAGTCATCAAGTAAGTTTACTAAAGCTCCATAATATTCAGCGTTTCTACACCCATAAAGACTCCTAATTATAGTCATCTACTAGGTGTGTGTTCTATGTTTTTTATGGATGGACTTATAAAAAGAAACAAGTATATAAAAACTTGAACTGAAAAGAACCAAAAATAAAAACAGGTTCATAACTCACAACTTCAAGACAAACAAAACTAGCATAACAAATTAGTCAAAACATGTAACATAGCAAGTTGGTCCCATATTGATTTATTAAATCATTATTAAACTTTGTCTTGCATTTGTACAGTTTTACCAGAAAATGCATATCTTATAATTTTTAATTGAATAAAATAGAAAATAAAATAAAATCTCAGATTTCCTGTGTGTGACAGACACCCTTTGAAAAATTATATTGAAACAAATACCTTTTCTAAATGTTTTCCGGGCAAAAGCTATAACGGATATACCACATTTTGTAAACAGGATCTGAAATTAAAAATGAAGAGGGAAAGGCACACATCTTTTCCAGTGAATCAGACTTTTAAACAAAACAAGGATTAATGCAGTCTCTTTTACCATCCATCTGAAGTTTACACTACCTAGTTAGATTCCTTCTCCCAGGAGCTAAATGCGGTAAAGGGTGTTCTTTCTAATATCTGGCTGTGTTTCACCATCTCATGGTCTCAAATCAAAATAAACAAGGGAGGAGGAAGTCAAGAACAAACAGATCAAACCCATGGTCAGGAAAACAGAACCAAAGGACAACATTTAAAGGGATTTGCAAAATTATTTACCCCTTTCTGATTATTTTGTTGAATTATAAATTATTTGTTCACATTTAAAAAACCTGGAATGCTCAAACTAAACACTTTCATGGCTGAAAGAAGCTAAATGTCAACAAAAAACTGCAAAGAAAAATCAACACCTAAATATTGTTTTTGGATACGTATTCCTTCCCCTTTGCTACGACAAAGCTAAATTAGTTCAAGTACAAAAATCTAGTCTTCAATGTCACACAATTAGTTCAGTGGCCTCTGTCTCCGCGCAGTAATAGTAGTTTGTGTTGCCAAATACAGTAAATACACCTGTCAGTTCCATTAGTTAGGTAGCAAATATTCAACCATGAAAAGCAAGGGGCTTTCAAAACATCTCAGGGATGAAGCTGTTGAAAGATTAATAAAAGTTATAAGAAATTTCACAGATACGGAATATCCCTTTGAACATAGAGAAGTTGATTATTAAAAGTGGAAGGTGTTTCATATCACCCGGACACTGCCTAGATCAGGCTGTCCCCCTAAGGTGAGCAGATGGGCAAGGAGGAAACATGTTACAGTAGGATTGCTACTTTGAGGCCAACAATGACTTTGAAAGAGCTACAGAAATTAATAACCGAGATGGATGACATTTTCCAAAAGGTAATAACATCTGGGTCATTCCATAAATCTGGTCTGTGCGACAGAATGGCAAACTCATCTCAAATCCCATATGTGGTTTGCAACACAACATCTAAATGATACCACAATCAAATAACAAATGGTTTTGTGGTCAGACAAGGCAAATATAGAACTTTTTAGTCCAAGTGAAAAGCATTATGCTGGAGCAAACCCAGTGCAGTGCATCACCCAGTCAAAAGCATGCCTGCTGTCAAGCATGTTGGTGGCAGCATTATGGTAGAGAGCTACATCTCACTAGCAGGGACTGGGAAACTTGTCAATTTTGAGGGGGAAAAGCACAGGGAAAAAGTACAGGGAAATCTTAAAGGAAAACATGCTTAGGTCTGCTAAAAACCTAAAAGTGGGATGACAGTTCACTTCCTGCAGCCCAGTGATGTATAACACAAGATCAAAATCACTTTGGAGTGATTTAACAAGAAGGCAGTGAATGTCCTTGTGTGGTCCAGTCCTGATTTGAATCTGATAGAAAATCTATGACAGGCTTCAATTACTGTCCATCAACAATCTCCAACCAGCCTGACAGAGCTTGAGCAAGAAGTGGTATAAATTTCACCAGTGGCATAAAGTGCAAAGGAGCTAGAGATTTATCCAGTTACACTTGCAGTTGTAATAGCAAGGTTATTGGAATATTGATCAAATCTGTCTTGGCTCACATACAGTGTGTTCATACAGTATGTGTATGGAACAACTCACCGATCATTAACACAAAAAAACTTGTGCTTTCAACAAATACTCAGGTGTGTGAATACCTATGTAATCATATTGTTTTCACTTTTTTGTAGATTTTGTTGTCATTTAACAACTTTTACCTGTAAATATATGTATTTATGATATGTAATATCATTCAATAAAATGATATGTACAATACCAAAACCATTCAATAAAATGGAACATTATTTGAGGCAGACGAATACTGGCACTGTTACGCAGCCTAGTGAACTATCCCTAACAGAGGCCAATATGTACTGTAGCTTCTTAGGTGAGAGATACAGTATACAGTATTTTCAGAATTTGTATTTTAAAGCAGTGTCATATTACACAGTAGCACAGTTTCTAAATGCTTTCTAAGCTGCCTGTGGATTAAATGTGCACTACTAAATATTGTTAGGAACAGGGCCTAATGAACTGATGGAGGTAAGAAACATTAATGGTTATTAAACATTGTGGCCATCTGCTGTCTTGATAGTTTAAGAAGAAAGTTGCTACTTGGCCATTTGCTTCACAAAAAGCAAGACGTAGGAGCTGTTTGGTGTTTGCTGAGCTGAAAGGGGCACATAGTTTGAGACATGGTGATCAAAAAGAACTTGCTTGTTTACCATAGTTAATTACGTTATTGGCAAATCTTTAAGAGTCAACAACAGTCCAGGAAAATGGGATGGAATGACAGGTCAAGGAATAAAAATGGGGAAAGACACAGAGACGAGGAGGTAGAGGAGAGGAGGGAGAGAAATTGGAGGAGAGGCTTATCTCTCTGTTGGCCTGTCAGGTATTGTACAGTACAGTTTTGAAGGCTTGGTAACAATCTGGGGGTTTTCTAGTTTGTCAGGATGTAGTCCTCTGAAATGTCTTCTTTGTAAATAAAGTAACTTGTATGTTGTGTGCATGTTACTGACTTCATTAAATATTTGTTTAACTCTGTATGCTTTATTTATAACTCTTTCAAAAAAGCCTTGCCACTGAACACCAAACTAAGGTGCCTAACTATACCAATTGCTCAGATGTATTCTTGGCATATCTTGACACTTTGGAGGTTTGATTATTTATTTTAACTTGGTATTTTCCGTAATTCTGTATTTTTCTTAACCCCTCCCCCTCCCCCATTTGTAACAATATATTATGTCATAATATATTCAATATTTCTTTTTGCAGGAGCCAGACCCAAGAACAGTAAAAGAAATAGCATGGACAGTGTAGATCTGTGGAAATATTTGTCAGAAAAGGTACCATCTTTTTTTTTCCATTTTGAAATTGTGCTTAATATTTAGAGGTTGAGCATTTTGTCATTTTGAGCATTTCAAACAGTCACTCTTTCATTAATATGGTTGATATGCTAGAATATGGTTTTTCCACCAGAAAAAAAAATCTTTCAGTAGCAGTTTCATGTCCATATGTGTCCAGCCAATTTCTAACCATTAACAGAAACTTAGATATTCCTGGTAAAGGTTGCAGAACCTGAGCCTATCCAGAAAGTATAGGGTGAGAAGTGGGACAATACCCTGGACTGGACACAAGCACACAGGCACAATTATGAAATACCAATTAATCTGGCCAGCATGTCTTTATACTAGAAATGTTAGAACCTGAAGGAATCCCACAAGGAAAATGGGTAAAGCATGCAACCTGTACACATAAGTGAGCTACTCTTGCAAAATGATGTTACTCATATTTGTGTCTCTTGGGTCAGGAGCAGAATGGGGACAGTTACCACTTGGACGACCTGCAAAGAACCAAGAACCATTTGTCTGGGCCAGTCAGAAGAAGGGAGTTTGCCGACAGCCAGTCAGCAGAGGAGAGGCACTGGCTAGATTTCCACGCCTCGCCAGTTGACACGAATGACATCAGGGTGCAAGTAACCCAGCCTGTAAGCAAGCCGGCTCTTTTTTCTGAGATACTGCAGATACCAGCTTTATTACTGGGATGGAGAACGACAGCAGGACGATGCAATCCAGCTACGATTTTCTTAAAAAAGTTGTTATATACTTAATTCTATGAATTATGAAGTAAATAATTATGATTATTTTACAGTAAAATGAGAAGATTCTTACCATGTGGCCCTTTAACTGCAAATAGGAATATACACATAATATATGTAGAGTAATATTTCATTGTATACATTGTTTTTAAAAGTCTTTTTCAGACCTTTATCCTTATAGAAACATCAACATAAATTTCCAGCACAGACACAGTTTTCAGTGTCATTAGTTATGAGAGGTGATGTTGTATTTCTAGATTATATAACCCATTCAGCAGTCGGAACACTCTTCAGAGAACGGAGGATCAAAATGCTGCGTTAGGAAGCTGAAATGCAGGATGAATTGGGTGAAATGAAACTAGAGACTAGAATTTTTCCACCCTTCACACAAAAGAAGACTTCTGTTAAATATCTTCTCTAACAGTGATGTCTAGATGTTAATTTTCTTGCGATTTCAAATGTAACTGTAAGTTAACTTTGCCTTAAAACATTTGGCATTTATCAGACATGGACTAGTGATATTTTGGTTGGGAGAGTTCAGTAACTTTTAAAATGCTTTAAATTTAAATTATACAACCTCTAACCCACACCAAAACCAAAGCACACATTATTGCATTAAAATACATACATACGGTATAACTAAGAGACAAGGGTTACAAATGAGAGCAGACCATTTAGCTCATTTCTACTTATGTCGAAGACAAATGAATTCAGTCAATGAATATCAGTATTGACCAGTGAAGGGATTTGTGTACCAATCAGTTTTTCTTTGAATTATCTCTGAGAAGCTCCAAAGAACTCAAGGTTGTTCCATTATTTGCTGGGAGTCCAATAAAAATAAGAAGCTTTATCTCCACAGCTGTATTAGAGGAGTTGGGAGAACCAAAGCAGCAGATGATCTTTCACAAATAATTGCTGTTGGAAAGCAGTGTGTTTTCAATATTCTCTGATAAAGTGAAATCCTATAGTATATACAATGTAATTTAAGTTCAACTTGCAACGATGTGCCCACATCAAATATGAAAAACATGTTTGAAAAGGAGAGCAGATATTCCTAGACATCTTTTCAAAGAGGTACCTTACTGCATTAATCAGCAATAAAGGTCACTGATTAGACATAATAGCACGTTAATGCTCTTTTCAAGTTACTGAAGACATTAAGTTCCAAAGTTCAGAGCAAGAACTATTAGGGGAGGATTAGCAGCAAGTCAAAATCGGCTTTAGTTATGCACTTATTTGAGAGTGCCATAATATGGTGTTGAATGCTTTGTGGTTGCTTTTTCAGCAGGTTTTGACTGGTGCCTTTTGACTTCCAGCAGTGCAATCATGGTATTGATTTTCTGTAAGGCCCAGCGGCTGCCTTGGGCTTTGATCTGTCAGCATGCTTTCCAATGTTCTGGCTTTTTGATCTGGTTAAGCACTTGCACAGCAGAGAGTTTTCTTCTGGTAATGCAAATAGAACATCGACAATGATGGACAATTCCTGGGATTTATGAAGTGAAAGTAGCGGATGATCAGCACAGATTTAAAGCCAGTAAATCTGTTTGTTAGTTGCAATTCCTGTCACTACTGTGTGAGAGTATTTTAATGGCCAACTAGCTGTCTGTTTCTTTGGAATATATTATGATAAAGTGAATATATACATGGTTCTTTATTTTAAAACGAAAGAGAGATTTTTCACTTTTCAGAAAAAGTCTTCTCACACATTTCCACTGAAGTCATCAGACGATTCTGTAACCCTCTAATGGAAGAGATCTTCCAAGTTCATTCAATGGGCAGAACCTTACAAGTCCAAAACTGCATAAACATCTACTAATGGACAGATCAAACTGAGAAAACCAAAATTTGGGACTGCTGTACTTGACTAATTTGAGAGATTAATAATGTGTTGCAAGGCTTAACTGCCTTCATGGTTGGTTTATCTTTTGGTTTGGCTCATGGTTGGCATCTCCGGGTTCACTAGAGGAATTCGTACAGTAACATCTGTACTCCCCCAGATTTTTCCTGTGAGTTTTCGTGCACTGTTCTAATTTAGAAAACAAATTGTCAACGGTAAAGCTGCCTTGAATCCAGACCTCTCAAGAGAATGTGCTGTCTTGCAGCTAGTTGTGAGACCCGCTTTTCAACAGCTGTTTGTGCAGGAGGATTATTAGAGTGAGTGTGGAAAATAATCGGACTAGCAGTAACAGTGTGGCAGTACATCAAACAAATCTGACTATGCAAGCAAGAGACAGCATAACAGGGAGAAACAGATGATATAAAGTCAAGTGCTCTGTTACAGCCAACCTGTTTGACAGCTGATTGTATCTGTACAACCTCAGCAGCTGCTTTCTTACAGGTCATAGTGATTAATACAGTAGGTCACGACTACCAGAATCAGAGTGTGATTCATGTCGAAGACTTTGACATAGCTCTGTATGCTGTATTTTACTTGCTGTCTCAAATATTTGATTAGATGGTTAATACAATGTAAATATGTAAATGAATAATGTTACACAATCCAAATGGATAGTCTTTCATCCATATACTGTAGTTGCTCGCACAATAGTCTGTATCCAAAGGAATACATTGCAGCTTTTTACCAATCTTACTGTTTTCATAATGTTACCTAGTCTTCAATATTTCTGTCTGAATAACAGTGGAATGTCTGCCTAAGATGCTTTGAATAGGATATAAATCCTGTTGTAGATTGTGGTCACAATCTTCAGAGTCTGGGTGATTTCCCAATTCTGTGATTGGGAAGATACTATCTCGTACCTCCCCCTGCTGATCAGAATGTATTGACTTCTTCCAATACATTCTTCATTTATTAAAATGATAATTCTGACAGAAAAAGCAATGTATAAATCTGCATTATTTTATATTTGATTGGCATATAACCAAATGAAAAATATGTATTATGCCAAACCACTAATTCCTGTAAAACTGTGTTTTGCACAGTTTATGTGCCTGGACAACTGCTTCAGAACATGATTAGAGCTAAACAGACAGGTCAATGGATAAAAAGTGTTTTGAATATAAGTAGAACTTATTCTGACAAAAACAGAAGTCATCTAAAACTGGATCGTGCATTACTGTATATACAGCTGTAAGATTTCAGACAACTACAATACACATTATGGTATGGTTGCAGCATGCTTGTTTTGGATTCAAGTTCATTCCAGTTCAATCTCTATACCTACACTAAGTGAATGCAGGCCAGCCAACTTGCTGTCTGCATGCCTTGATTAATCTGCAGCTGCAAAAGAATTTCCCTTTTAAGTTAATAAATTTGATCTTTCTCTAAATTTTCTAAATTTGATATTATCTGCTGACTGTTTGATCTAAACTAGGTGCTTTTAACACCTCACTAAGGTTTGTAGTTTACTTAAACGCAAACTGAGTATAACCCGATCAAATTAAGGGACCTTCCTGTTTGATTAATGTGGAAAATTAAATGTTGCTGTATGGGTGTATAATGCATATTTAAACGTATCAACAGTAGAAGATCTGGAACAAGTAACAAATGCTAAAACGGCACAACTACATATAGAAAAAAGCCCAATTAGACTTATCGAAGAACCTGCAGTCCCCAAGGATGGAATTTCTGGACAGGGAAACTTTCTCAGTGTTTTTTTTAATAATTGGAAGAGCTCATCTTCATCTCCTTCACCTCAGGTCGAACAAGTGTCAAAGGCATACGCTTTTGAAAATAGCCTACTCTTCTTTTCCTTCTTGCCTACTTTTACACAGAAACACAGGAAAATAAGAATGTATTCATACAGGGAGAAATATTTTCTAATATGCATGATGAATTACCATGTATCCTTTACACTTCAGTCTTCCGATTTATTAAAAGTAGCAAATTTGTTCAATTCTCTCACAAAGCCATTTAGATAATGTGGGATTTTCAGTGGTATGTCAGGTGCTTCACTTGCCCTCAGTTAAAGACAAATATTTATCCACTTTTAGGGATGAGCACGAGAGCGAAACGCCTTTTGCTGTTTGGAAATCCAGAGAAACTCTCATGCTTTATTCATGAGCATTCTGAAAGGATTGGCACATGGCTACCAGAAAGCACACCTCCCCCAACACACCCCTCCTCTCCCCACTCCATCCCAGCAGGGGATTAAAAGCTCACTCAGAGCTGGGACCCAGCCATAGCACTGGGTATCCATCTAGTCCCAATTATCCTGATAAAAGCCAAAGAAGGGAGGTGGTTTCCCTGTGGGAACGGAGCACCGGGAGACGCAGAGCAGAGGAATGCCTCTCTCTGTGTCAAAGCAGCTCTAACAGAACTGCAGGCAGAAAAACAGCGGAGCAATGCAGTCTGGAAGTGGAGTTTGGTTTCTATAGCTACTGTGATGTAAGCTGAGGGGAGCAACTTTGCCCTGTTCTTTCTCAAATGGAACAATACAAACCCTATTAGGATCCAGCCCCGGACAGTACAGAAGGGTGCAGCTGTCGCTGAAGTGGAAGGGAAAACTTGAATAAAAGGGCTTTTCATCCTCAGAAGAGGTAAGCACAGTGCTAGGCTGACTGCACAAAACGCACCAGCTACCTAAGCCATTTAGCTGAAGCTGGACTATTTAGTGTGAGCTTACATGACTTATATAGACTTATCTGCAGGTCTAATTCACCGTGTTGTGTTTCCGCTTAATTTGTCTTAGTTGTGTACTAATTTGTGTTGCTCCACTCTCTAGCAGCTCAGCCTCACCACCCCACCCAGTTTAAGGATTGACCCGAATGTGTGAGAATCTCTATTGATAACAAACCTTTTTTTCCCACAGCAGCAGCACAAGCTATCGTATGGGCAAAGGCATCTTGTGGAGAGGGTGGGCACTTGAGCACTGGCAGGGAAAGTTGGTGTATTAAGGCAACAGACTGTGAAATTGATTATCTGTTTACTG